AAAATAATAAGACTTATTATAAACTTAAGCTTAAAAGCTTAGGTTTAAGGTAGGGCCTTTACAAACCCGGCCCGGACCTAAGCCGGATAAACTTCGGATAAGGTAGGGATTTAAGTATGGAAAAAGAGAAAAGTTATTATCTTTATTTCAAGTTTATTCTTGTTATTTTAAGTGATATATACGTGTATCTACAAGTATAGCTAGTTTATTATAACAAGCAGTAAAAAAACAGTATACACATCGAGATACGTTAAACATATTAGCTCAGGTAGTTTATATTAAATTATTAAAAACAAAATTTAAATAAACTATACAATTACAAGGGCCTACTAGTAATATAATATAAAAGCTATACTAGGCTCTAGGAATAATAATAAGCAATAAAAAATACTAAATATATCGCGATACATTAAATACACTACTATTATATTACATGATATTTATAAAAGGCTTATAATTTTACTTAAATTAGCCAGGTTAGGCTAAATCGCGTGATACCTTATAATAAATATTGCCTCTAAACTCTACTTATAACTAAACTAAGGCTGTTATCGAAGAAATATAAAGGAGCATATCGCCGCCTTGGAAAGCCATATTCCCGATATCGAGCTAGAGCTCGGTTATATGGCGGAATGCGTTGAGAAGTTGAGGTATGCAGTCATCTCTGGCGTGACCTGAAAACCGCTTGAGGGTCGGGAAAGGATTGGGTACGAGATCAATAAGGTCGCACAGGTCTTCTGGGCCTGGACACCCATAGGGACCCATTTACAGGTTCTCCAGAATCTCGGACTTTAAAAGGTAGACGAGATGCTTGAATCCTTAGTACCCAATAATGGAGGCACCTGAAGCACTTGGGGTGTTTCCACGTGGGGACAGAACAGAGAAACTACTTTGTTAGGCGGCTCGGACGTGGTTCTGGAAGAAATAGAGGTAGAAGATATTGTTGGGAGTGCTGTCATGGTTGGTGTAAAAGTTGTACTTTCAGATAATCTTGAAGGGCGTCTTGACGTTGTAACGAAAGTTGATGTAAAACTAATCGTTCTTGTTACAGTAGCCTGCTCAGAGTGTACCGATAAAAATGTGGTCAGCCCAGGTGTGCGTTAGTCAATAGTACTCCAGGATGCCGGTGATTGAACGTCTATAGTATATGGTACTGCGTATATTTCTCGAGCAAAAAAATTAATTTGGATCCAAACCGGGGCTCAAGTTTTCTATTGGCCCGTATTTACCAAGTCCAAGCGCATCGAATAAAAAGCACGAGATATTGGTATTACACCTACTTGACGCATCACCAAAGAAAAAGAGACTAGCCAACCTAAGAATCCCCATGTCGCAAACCCATAATGAAACCCGCAACTATCATCGTCGCCTTAAACCTTCATTATTATTGTCTTGTATCGAGTATAATGCCCAAGAGATCTTCCCGAGACTTCCCATTAAACTGCTCCAAATAGTGGCTAACCATACTCCCCCAAGGACCATAGCCTTCCATGCCGCGTGTACAGCACCTGTCCTTTGGCTTCATGGTTCCACTAATTTACGCAAAGAGAGCCGCGATATTAATCATCTTGTTGCTATCGAAGGTGCCAGTGGTGGTTGCTTGGGGCTTTCGCGCGGCCTCGACTGCGGCTACGTTGTGAGTCGCTGGTAGACTTGGAGTCACGGTGTTGACGTGGCTCACCATGAGCTTCATCTCCAAAAGGGCTTGATGAACGTGGTGATGGCCGTGCCCGGCGAGAGGAGTGTTTCCCTATAAACAGCCCAAGAAGTAAGAATTGAAAACGTATCTTGAATGAATACAACAATGACACTAGAAGAACAAGAGCAGAGAAATAAATGATGATAGGTAAAAAACGTGGATAGAAGCAGCGTTAAGAAAAACGCAGATAAAGTGTAAAGAAAGAAAAGAGGCACTAGCTTTACTAAGGCCACGAAGCGCGCAATATTGAAAGCAGAAGCACAGTATAATAGCACGCATAATAGTAAATTTCCGCCACGGCTATTATATAAACACACCAATGCACACATTTATAATGGAAATAGATAATAAGGTAAATATAATAACCTAAGCGTGGATAAAACACTTAAATGTTCAGTATACAACATCGCCCATAACAGTCAAGCAACGACAACAGCATCAACTTTTAGAGCTAGGCCGTCTAGTCAAGCTTTTTCCATTTGCCATCGCATTAAGCGAGGAAATTACATACAAGTTGGTCGACTGGCTGTGTCCTAATCCAGAGCCGGCACCAAGATCAAAGATGAAATGTTGCGCTCTGAGACAGCAGTACCTGTTGTGCGAAGCAGTCTACTATTTACGGAAGAAAAACAAGCTGAAAAAAAAAAAGCACACCAAAGGGAATGCTTGCCGTTACCTACAGTAAATATGAACCGCGGTATACTGGCTAACATCGTGATTTTACAGAAAGAATATTATTAGAGCGCCTTAAAATAAGTGGAGCGGGCACAATTAATCTCTTTAGCTGCCCACTAGCTTGTGGAGACTCGCTTACTTAAGAAAATTATATGGCAGAGGAGTCTCCACAAGCTAGTAGGCAGCTAAAGAGATAGTAGTTTTGCCATGTTTTTCCCTCCCTACATTCGCTTCTCATCATGGCGTCAAGTTTGGCAATTGATCATCCAGTATCTTGCAAAGGGTCAAGTGTTTATACTCCAAATTCTCTACTAAACTCCCCAATCACTATCTCAGGTCGATGCAGGTCTGGCCAAGCTTCCTAGCAAACGGTTCCTTGGCTCAACTGCTTGTTTTTTTCGTATCCAACCGAGTGTCATCTTGAAAGCTCCAGTTACCGTTCTGGAAGACCAAATTAGATTTTCGTTTCGCATCGAATGACTGTCAAGCTAAAGAGCTTTATGAAAGGTCCGGGGTTCAATTCCCCGTGTGTCTACAAAATGTCTCTACCAAGCACTCTTGCAGAGTGTTGTATTTTTGCTACCTTTGTGGCGTGTTGGCATATATATTTGCTGATTTCTGCTACGCAGGGCCTGCATTGCGTTGCTCTTGATTTTTATTTTTTTTCGACAATCTTCCTCCGTTATGAACATTGACCAACCTCTAACACCACCTTGATGGATATTCAGCATGTACGCACCTGCGTATGACAAAAATAACGCCGTGCACTGCAGAAAATTGAACGAATTCATACGCCAAATGACTGCTTGAAAACTAAAGTACAGGGTAGCTCGCTGCGACCGGCCGTTCAATGTTGGCAAGCAGATCCCCCACCGCCGACACTAGCACCCTGCAACTTCCCTGACAACGTCGACGCAAAACCTCACAACGGACAAACACCAAACCCCATGGCACAACACCAATGCGCGCATCCAAACTCATAAACACCCGTCTCTGAGTGTCCGAGAACACCAAGGAGCTCCATCACCCAGCGATGCCCTCGCCTACGGACGATGAGACGCCGTTCCCTGCTCTAAGCCACGCCGCGACCTTCAGCGTCTTTGGACGCTCGCATCTCTCCCCGCAAGACGCACACCTCTCGCCGCCGCGAAGGGCACGCGATTTCGATGGCGACGGCACCTCTGAGATGAGGCGGCTAGGCGGCTACTCTGAGAGGAGCCGCAGTCGTCGACGGAAGCGCGCTTGGAAGAAGCTCATGTGGGTGAAGCAATCCTGTACGTTGCGCATCACATGCAATACCTCACGCTCTACTCTCCTGCCCATTAAACAAAGACAAGGAAAACAAAATCCACTGACACAGGGGCAGTCCCAGACAATTACACCGACCAAGCAACGTTTCTCGAAAACCTCCAACGCAACCCCCGTCTCAAGCCGTACGACTTTTGGCCGCTCGTCGCCGACTCCACCGTCATCCTCCAACACGTCTGCTCCGTGACCATCTTCATCGTCTGCTTCGTGGGCATATACCACGAGCGCGTGTCGCCCGTGTCGGTCGTTAGCTGGAGCAGCTTCGCCACCTTTGTCGGCTGGATCCTCTGGGAGCGCTGGGTATCCGAGGAGGAGGACAAGGAGGACGAGGCCAACGCGGCGGCCGCAGCGTCCGCCGCCGCCGAGGGAAGCGCAGCCCCGGCGCCTGTCGTGCGGGCGGGTAGCGTGCGGCGGCGCAACCGCGCACGCAGCGTCCCAACCGCGCAGGCAGCGTCCGCAGGCCGCCGCACCCATTGCGAGTCGAGTCGACGACAGCAGCGGCGCCGAAGCCGTCGGGCAGCGTGCCGTCCGGAGCGCCGTCGCCAGCAAGCTCCACTGCGAATCTACACAGCGGCCGCCTGGTCCCGTCTGCGCCATCTACAGCCGCGCCTACGTCCGCGTCGCTGTCACGCCTGACGCCCAAGACGAGCAGCGAGGCCCTCCGAGGCAGCGC